CTGTCTAGAGAGACATCCCTGGAACTAGGACATGCTGTTATGATATTAATGGAAGTGATGTGGACATAAAGACCCAGCCTGGCATCTCCACAAGCACCATTGATCCTCAGTCAAAAGAAATGCAGTTCTGCACTGTCTGCTTGGAACTGATCACACTCATGGATTTGATGGCAAAGGGGAAGTTTGGGAATGGAAGAGTCCATCTGCAGGTGAGATTCCACACAATTTGGAAGAGGTATATCCCAGCTGGTGTAGTGTGTGGCTGTCCTTAGGAACTGCTGCAGGTGTGATCATTCAAGTCCTCTTCCCTCTGCAGAGCTTCTCTGTCTACCTGAGGCTTTAGGAGTTTACCCTTTATTAACTAGGCCAATTTCCCAGAGCCTACAGTCATGGAGTCTTGCTTTCTGTTACCTTCTCCTGAGGTGTCTGTTTGTAAAGGTCTCTGGCCACCAGTCACAGCCACATGAATAAGAACCAAGCATAGAATCTCTAGAGAATGCTGTATTCACAGCCTTGATGCTATCCTATGCTAAAGGTGAGACCAGTGTAGGAACTGCAGAAGGTATGGCTCAGATTGGTCCAGGCCAACATCTGGCCCCTTGGTCTGTTGTCTTGTTTTCTTGGTAACCTACTTTCTCAGCCATATTGGTGTCTGTTTCTTTAGCCTGGCCATTCATTGCTGTGTCCCCAAATATAGCTCATCCCTCACTCCTCCAAATATAAGAAAATCATTGAAAGAGACTTAAATATCTAATTCCATCTCCTGATAGAATGATAAACTCTCATGAAATATTCCCTGACCAGAGAGTTTTATCCTTAAACCTCATTCGGCTGTCAGCAGCAGGAGATGGGGGCTCCTTGACCACTTTCCCAGTGAAGTTTAATTATGAAGAAGATGGAGGTATGTGTCTGTGTGGTGGCTAGGTGTGTGACATGGAGTTTAAATGATTTTCATAAAGTCTGCCTTTAGAATCAGTCACCAGAATCCTTGGTGTAGAGAATTAAATCTGTAGGGTTATACTGTGACCTTCACAATATGTCATGACACATTTGCTGAGGGCCATGGCAGTATATGACAGGTGACAACCAGTGTTTGACAA